CCGACGAATCTCGCTGATATCATACTCCTTTTCCATTATGGTGTCAGAAGATTGATAGCCTGAGGGGATCGATAGCCATGAACACTGGGTGCTGAAGCTAAGTTGTAGGTCACCTGTTATCATTCCCAAGTGACAAGTAACTTACAATACTTACTCCCTGAATTCTATATGGCGACTGCACCTGCTTAACTGTGATATTGGACTATAGGACGTCTGCAAACCCGACTGGGTGCCATAACCTTAAACCAGCAGGTCTCGTGGTTTGATAGCTGAAGCGCTGACCGTGTATATAAACCCTCCGCCAATGTAATTTCGGGGACTTGGTGTTTTCCTCATTCGGACTTGCGGCGCAGTGGTTGTCATGGTCTTAGAAATCTCTGATTAACCGTGATCATATACAAGCAGCAGACGCAAATACAATGTGCATCATCTCATAGTACCACTTCAAACTCCCGGTGCTCATAGTGGTCTCAAAAAACCTATTTCCTGTCCATCCTCCTTCCTGCCCTCATGCATCCGAACAAGTCAGCACTTGCATATCCAGACGTAAAATACCAGTACTAACTATGTACATGCATTCTACAGTATTTGAGCGTGTGTATTTTTCAAGAGAAACGATTTGACCGGGATGCCGCGCCCGTCTAAATCGTATTCCTCAGCCATATTAATATTGTCGGTCATGTCCAACATGCTTTGCAATCCCAGACGTAAAATACCAGTACTAACTATGTACATGCATTCTACAGTATTTGAGCGTGTGTATTTTTTAAGAGAAACGATTTGGACCGGGATGCCGCGCCCGTCTAAATCGTATTCCTCTGCCATATTAATATTGTCGGTCATGTCCAACATGCTTTGCAATCTCTAGATCGGAATCATAAATGACCTTGCTACTACAGCGCTTAGTTGAGCTGCATAGGCTGTTTTGGGAGGCTCTGCGTCATCCGCCCGAATGCATCAGTGCCAATTAGCCGTACTAACCGCATTCCAGCATCACGCGCCACTGTGCAGCACCTACCGTCAAGGTCGTTCTTCCTGTCGAACCGCCACCGCCATGTCGCCAGGTGCAGCTGACTTACGTTGTATTTTTGTAGATCGGAATCGTGGATTAGCATGCTGCTAGACTGCAGTCAGACAGTACTATGTATATATGTAAGCTGTCTTGGGAGGCACTACACACCATCCGCCACACCTCGAGGAGACAAGAAACGTCCGTGTGTGCGTATGAAGTGACACGGATTATATTCGAGAATGACTCTTTCGTGGTTAATCAATAACAAGGAATAGACATGTAACCGCCTATCATGTAATTAACTTACTTATATGTTAATAGATCTGTACATTAGCGATAAATCATACGAAGACCAGTTTCTTCTTAAAGTGCTCCTTGGGCTAGCATCTGGGTTTGAGAGGAGAGCAATTTCCAGCCCGGCCAGAGGAGCTTTGTTGCGTGCAGTGTCTTGTCCTCGCTCTTCTGCATAAGACAGTGGTTAGTTGAATAGGGGTTTGGGTCCGAAAGGATAAATTCCTTCCTCGGCAAGGATAGATTTGTTGCGGGCAATGTTCCATATTCGCTATTCTGTGCAGGACAGAGTGATCAACGTTGGAAGTGGGTTCAGGTCTGACAAAATCTGAATCGGCAAGGAGATTGCGTGCAATGTTCTATTCTAGCTCTTCTCCGTAGGCTTGAAGTGGTTGCAACTCCTGCGGACGACAAATGAAGAACCTAAAACACAATAGAAAAGGATCGCGCACGTCATGAGTAAGAGATGCAAAGTATGAGCAGATAGCCCTCGTCACCAACTATGGGACCAAAACGTAATGATTAATGTTATCAGTGCGCATTTGGTTTGGAGTTGAGGAAGTTGGGCACCTATTCTTCAAGCCGTCGTTTAGACTCATTTGGGGTGCATACCAAGTGTAACCCTCGCGGTTTGCAAGTGTCATGTAAATGAATTCAACATTCAGGTCTGCGACCAGCGCTACACTGACGGTTGTGGCAAATAAGAATTAACAGTGTGCCGCACCCTCTGATGATATTATTTGCTATATTATAATAACATCCAGTGAGGATCATAGAATAACTACCTGTCAGTTTGATTGGTTCGTGTTGCTGTTGGGTTGGTGGAGCGTTGTGTAGAACACGTCTATTGGAATCAAGATCCTGTGGCACAGTTGTGCGATCAAGAGAATAACGAACGTAGCCCGATCGGAGTTGTATGCAGTTAGTGTTCGTCGTCGTGTCAGTGCAAGAAGTGTTGTGGCTGGGTCAAGGGTTTCTATGCACACAGAACTTTGGACTTAGACAAAGAAAAAGAACCTGAATGCGGCAGCAGTGGGTAGAATATTGCACTGAGGATCTGGTCATAATGAGAGGATTAGTATGAAATCCCAGCGCTGCTGTGATGTGAGTGTTATGTGCGACGAATGTGCGCCAGATGCCGTCCCAGACGTAATCTGCGTTTTTCTGCAATGTATTGAACTTTCTTCGGAACTTGCTTACTAAGCCTATTATGGGTGTGCGGCGACAAAGCTATTCAATTAGTCTCACCAGACTGTAACCCAGAGAGTCGAGACTCCCCTACTACTAGACAGACTTCTACATAATGGACCGTGGTAGACTTCGAATGAAGGAACAATTGAGTAATGTTCACGGTGCGCACAATCTCCGCCTCCCTTTGGACTTGAGCTTGAGTCCCCCACCGCCACACGGTAGTACTACATAGTGCATACTCATCCACCCGAAGATGATGGAAGCTTTGAAGACTCGCGCGTCGACAGCATTTTTGAACTCGTCTTCGTCGTCCCCCTCTTCTGGCCCTCAAATGGAGATCCGATTACTTCGAGGCAAATGTCCTGACGGTTGTGTGACTTGTGTCAACTTTGTCAAGCTCTCGCACAGCTTTCGGAAGCAATCAACCAAACTCAAAATAAAGAATAGTTGATTGGACGCCTAAATTCAAGTTCACTCATGAGCACCATCGTTTTTGAACTTCTCTAGGATATCTGTGACATGCAGCAGGAAGGTGAGCCTAGCACTTAATGTCTCGCATACTGTGGAGTCTGGACTCACCAAGCATCATGATTCTACATCTAATAGCGATTGAAACACACGACCACGCATGGGAACGTCTGGTGAAAGCTGCAGCGCATCGTGCTATATACAATGCCGAACCACGAGCACTCTCTCCGTGTCTTGAAAACACACGAACCACTGTTCTGAAGAGCATCCGGCAGATAGTGGATGAGAAGAGCCAAAAACATATCTGGCTGCACGGTTTTCCAGGCTCAGGCAAAACGTCCATCTTGTTCACGATTGCAGACGAACTACGGAGACAGGGACGTCTCGCAGGAACTTTCTTCTTCTCGCACAATAATGTGGATGCAACAATGTGCGATTATATCGTGCCAACCCTTGCCTACCAGTTGGCACTTGCGTTCCCCGCGGTGAAAAGCGAGATTGTCAGAACCATTGTTGATGATCCAGCATTACTATCGGATCTGAAAGCTCGAAAAGATCAGATCCAATGTCTCATCACCAAACATCTATGGAGACTCCAATTCAAGCCTCCTGTAGCATTCATCATCGATGCACTAGATGAATCCTGCTCCCCCCTCGAGGCTGTACGGGTGGCACGCTTACTAGCGGAAGCCATACGCACATACAGGGTCCTTGGAGAGAAGCCGCTTGACGTCCACATAATTCTAGCTAGCCGTCCCAGCTTGCGCATCGACGAAGAAGCCCCTACGCAAGGTTTTGGAGATATTCAAGAGATTTCTTTGCAGGATGTTGATGGGGAAACACACACAGACATCCGTCGCTTCCTTGCGCACGGACTCCAGCGAGTCATCGATTCTCGTAAACTTAGTCTCGGAGACGTACCGGAGTGGCCATCTCCTCGTCAAATAGATAATCTCGCTGTCAAGGTCGGGAACTCATTTCTATGCGCATCCATAGCGATGAAATATATTTCCCACCCGAAAAAATACCCTCCTTCGAGATTGGACGCGTTCCTTACATCACCCGGTGTTACGGCAGACGCTTACGCTGACCTGGATATCATGTACCAGGATATCATCAGGGACAATAGCGCTTTGGTCAGACATCTGGTCGATATCATCAATCTGGCACAACCGCTCTCACGTTCTCAACTCTTACAGTTTTTCCCTTCGGATCAGACCGAGGGGCTCAACCTTGCTCTAGAAGAATTTTCATCGATTCTAGTCGTTTCACCCGAACAACCCAAGATCCCCATCCGACCTTATCATTCATCACTAATCGAGTTTTTCGCGGATCCGATGCGCTGTCATGCTCATCACATCGAGCCTACAGAGATTCATATGGGTCTCGCATATCAATGTATTATGATTCTACGATCACTCAAGGCAAATTTATGCGACCTCTCGGACCCACACAAACTATGGCAGTCGAAGACAGCCAGTTCTGGCATAAACGAGACGCCATGCTTCCTGAAAGCATGCAATATGCTTGTCGTAACTGGGCACACACCATTTGTCTCATGGAAATGTTGATGATATACTTGTCTCTGCATTAGAAAAATTTCTTTCTTTCCACATCCTGCACTGGATTGAGGCCTTGTGTCTCCTGGGAGAGCTCAGCGATGCTCAAACAACTTTACGGAAAGCCCGTGCAGCGGTTGTCGTGGGTTCTTGTATCTGTTTAAAACGGGCATTTTATCTCATCATGAAATGCTAGGGATGGGCCCCCGAATATGCAACATCGTGATTTTACACTGATAAACAGGTCGCTTGCGACTGCAGAACAAATGATCATCCTATATTTTGATCCCATCAGTCTGTTCCCCCCTCCAGGTTTATTACATCGTAGCGGCACTTGCAGATTTATCTGGAAAACCTCTAGATTCTAGATCTGATGTGCTAGTCCATAGGTGTGGTCCGACTTCTGACAGTGCATATCGATTTCCCGTGTCCGAACTGCAGTCTTCCTGGTGAATTCAGGACCATCTCAAGGACAGCATTTCCAGAATGTGGATCCAGGAGTTTTAGGCATCTTGGCGGATGTAAGCTTTTATCTCGATTTGGGCTCAGTATCACAGTGTCTGACTGGGTTCCAGTGTAGCCGTTGGTTATCGAATTATGATTTAGGTGCATTTCACCTGGCACGTACGTCCACCTGAAGTGCAATGCCTAGACAACGGTTGTTCACGTGCACTTGCATCAAGATCTATCTTTGGATCTATTTTTTTCTGGTGGAGACGTTGATTATTATCGAGACCGTAATCGACGAAATTCTAATCCAATACGACGCAAAAATTTGGGTTTGCCTGGAGATAATATCGGAAAAATCCAAACAAGTATCTTCTATTCAACAGATTACACATGTCGATCATTCGCGAGTGGAATTTGGCAATATGGCGATGTACGTCACGATAGACCTCATAAGCACAATGTTTAAACCTTTTATTTTCAGCCTTGCCGAGGCAGATGACCGCTGTCGACTTCGGGTTTTGCTTTCAACTTCGGGAAAGAAGCCCTTAAAACCTGGCATGATTGTGGGGGAGTGGTTTTTCAACTTTCGAAGTCTGACAGCGTACGCTGTTTACGAACAAAGTGAGTAGCATACATGTGACCACAATCTTTGATCATGAAGGTGGGAGGTATAGGGCTCGAACTTAAGATGAAACACAAACCCACTGATTGTGGTCCAGTCGCTGGTAATTGCATTGGAACTCTGGGCTTGACTGTCACTCCTGCGCCCGCTTTCAGCAGCAGTGAGCGGGGGAAAAACATCTTAGAACAGTTCCCTCGACCACATTCGTCGAATCAATCGCCCGGGATCTTTACTACAAATTTTCCAACCAAAAAAGTGGCAACGAAGGTTTGCGAGCGTCCGAATCACAACCAGAATTGTCTTCTGTCTTGGATCTTCATCTTACTTTCAACGAGCCAGACAAATTTGGGAAGCTTGAACAGCTTATTCGCCAGGTCTTCCGTGACCTCAAGAACCTCAAGAGAGAACTACGTCCAGTCATGTATAACATCCGGCATCCCGTCATATACATGCGTTACATACGTCCGGCATCCCGTCATCACAGTGGATATGTAGATCCGATTCTTGAGGAGTGAAGAGGCTCGGACTAGAACGAAGAAGAAGACAAGAACTCAGTCTTAGTTGGAAAGACTCAACTACGACAAGCGTATACCTAGAAACGAAGAAGAAAGAACAAGTATCGCTAGTCAGGATGTATATATGTAGAGTCGTAATAAGTATGCTCACCTCAGTCTTAGTTGGAAAGACTGAGGGAGAAGCTTAAACACAATAGCTTGAGATATACAAAACGCATCACATACGTGTAAGCGAAGCAAATCACGGACATGATCCTTACGATCAGCCGAAGAAATATAAATGGAGTGTGCCCAAGCAATCTCAGCATATTGCTCTCTATTAAGAGTAGGGAAATTCTCCACAATCAACCTCAAATTGGGCGCCACGACAGGCATGTTACCACCTGTTAATATTATAATGATGCACAGGTAGTTACTCTGCAACTTTCATTACTAATTACACCACATCCAAGAGGGTCGTTCCCATCAATCCGGGATATCCGATCTGGGGATTCGGGAAGTATGATGTTCGGACTCCGCTCTGTAGACGTGCAGGGTACGACAGAGCCGAGTCAGGACGTCATCCTTCCTGCACTGCCTGTCCTGATCAAAGATCAAATTTTGAGTGGTATGCGTCCTCGTCGGAACAAACCAAGTCTTCCCAATCCAAGATGTGATCTTGGTGAGTTTCCGAGTCAGCGATCGAGTTCATGGAAGTATAGCGAGGGTCGATAACCACTAGCGCCGTTGTTGTTGCATGACGGTGACCCTCTAGGAATAGGTTCCAGCGTGCCATGTTTAGATGAAACCTACGGTCCTGTATAAGAATCATCATCATCATTCGTTTCGACCATTATCAACGCAATCGTTGAAACGCCGACGTCAATATCCGAGTAAGCGGTCACTTACCCAACTATTTATAGTACGTGCTGTCGTACCAGCGGCCCCTACCGCTACTGCCGCGCACTGCTCCTTCGCATTGGCATTTGAGGGGCATCTAATCTGGGGATGTATGACGTCCGGAGACTAACTGACACAGTACCGGGTGGCGCATACATTTCTGCAGCAAGGCACGATGGTGATGACCTACATGCCAGAAGGAAGGATTGAACAGCACATAGATACTCGATAAAAACACACCTCAATGATCGACTCATTGACGTCTTCCACTGCGGAAGGTAACGATGAAGGACAAAGTTTGTCTCTAATACCAAACAAATGCTATATCCCTCAATCGAGTACCAGTGACCAGCCTCTCATCGTGATTTTTTTTACCTGGATAAACTAGTATTAGTACCTTGAGTTCGAGTCTTCCGATCCACATGCAATATAGTTCATATCGACTGGAATACTCGAACTCAAGACACAACATACGCAGGATAAGCAAACCCAACAGCTCTGAGATTGTGAGCCTGTCTTGAGCGAGCGACGGAAGAAAGGAAGATGACTAAGAGAAGACTAGTACAAGGTTTGAAACATTTTTTTCAAGGTTTGCATGCACGTCAGAAAAGGAAAAGAAACCCACAAACTCTGACAGGACTCGTGGGTGTTAATAGTAAAGCCTCCCGGGGATGTATGGAGCGGTGTTGGAATCAGGAATCAGGAATGAACGGCAGACTTGATAGAAATGATCGACTCATTGACGTCCTAGAGGGAGATCCCAGTCTCCCATCGTAATTTTTTACTTAGATATACTAGTACTAGTACCTTGTACTCGAGTCTTCTAGTCCATATGCGATGTCCACACATAGACTGGAAAACTTGAATTCAAGAGACGACATACGTAGGATAAGCAAACTTGTCAGCTTTGAAATCCTGGGCTTGTCATGAGCGAGCGACGATCCACAGAAGAACTTTGGATGATGGATAATGGATGTCATCGATGATGAAGGTCGGAAAAGGAAAAGAAAACCCACAAACTTTCTGCAAGAGACTCAGGTATGCAGCATCATAATCCAATTTTTAACGGTTAACAAACAAAAGCCTACCGAGTCCCGGGGCCGTATGAAGGGGTACTCGAGAACCACGTTATCGGTTGACTGTTACCGCCGGTAAGTCATAAGGCTTGTTCTGCACCTCCATTCACAACCATCCACGTTTCCTCGCATCAACACCTGACGTATTTCCAATCTGGGGGTTCGAGATGTATGACGTCCGCTCTTCGGCTGTAGACGTGAGGTATGATATATCCGGATGATCTCCTTAGGCTTCCTGCCCTCCCAGGTGACCCGGATTTCCAACTGCCGAGTTTTGAGCGGTGTGCATCCTCGTTGGAATCCTGAGTCCGGACTCTCAACGCAAGATCCTGAGCTTCAAGTTGGTGACCTTGCGAATTCACGGACGTATAGTAGGTCATCAATGACCATATTATAACTGGCTATCGTTGTTATCGTTGTTATCGTTGTTACATGGTGACCCTTTGGAAACAGGAATAGGAATAGGTTAGATAGGATAGGTTTCATTGGCCCATGTTCAAGTTTAGACGAAACCCACTTGGAAGTTCCGACCAGGATATGAATCATTCATACCGATACTGCTCCTGTTGAGTCACCAGCGTCTACATCAGTAACCGGATACTAAGCTACTCAGCTGGGAATAATATACGCTGCAATGTTGCGCGGTTTCTCCATTCAGCACTAGCACATGGTCGTTCACCTTCTTTCGCATCACATCTGAGGTCTCCGATCCGGGGAAGTATACGAAATGTGGACTCTGCTCCTAGACCGTAGACGTGCGGGGTACGATAAATCCGGACGATCTCCTTCCAGCTTTGCTAGGTAATTTCCTGATCAACGACAGAGTGTTAGTTATATGTGCTCGTCAGCATCGGCGTTGGATTCGGGGTTCAAGCTTCAATCCGACTCTGTGGTAAATGTGATTTTCATCTTGGTGAGTTTCCCAGTCGATAGTCGGGGATCGATGTCCGTCATATTATTAGCGGCCATCGTCATCCTTGTCGTCGCTGCATAACGGCCCCTCCATAAATGGGACAAATCCCAGCTGCCAGCATGCCGTGCCAGGCCCAGAAAAGATCAAGGACATGACCAACTTCCGACCTAGATGTGAAATCGAAGCTGCTTGATACAAAACGCCAGCGTGTAACATCCGAGTAAGCGGACTTACACAGCTGTTCCTCGCTATTGTAAGTACCGGTGATAGGTGTGCGTTGTCGCACAGGCGTTTCGTATCGTTGTTGCAGCGTGCTGCATTCGAGCTTCAATATATTAATAGTTCTGCGTTCTCATTCTTCAAGTCCATCGAATCACATTAGTGTTACGTCAGGATCCCATCGCCTGGTCATTGACGTTTCGTTGTATTGATAACGAATACCAGGGGTTTCCCCTGGGTTTCCGATCTGGCAAAGGATGATTAATGATGGTGGATGACACGTATACGAGTGAGCTACTTACGGAAAGTATGAGTAAATCTCTGGTGGGAGAAGGATGGAATGTTCACAACTATATGAAGGCAAAAAATCAGGTCAAACACTGGTAGAATTATGAGACAGCCACCATTATAGAAGTATGGAACGCCACCCTGGCAAATGCTATGACGCGGGGGTGTGGCATCCGCGCTGGCCTTGTCAGGGACGTCCGAGTGAGTCGAAACCAGGTAGGGGGCCGGCCACCGGTGGGTCCAAGCCAAGTCGACGGTCTCAACTGAGAGATGTGTTTGCGGTCCACAGTAAATTATGGGGTTGGTGAGCTATGTGGTGCAAGAATGGATAGTGCGAGGAGGTGCCTGAACTAGACCTGGATACTCACTAGAAGATTGAGTAACAGTAAATCCACTGTCCGACCAACGGTACCGAGAAGTACGATTGATATTGGCAAAAGCCACGCAAGTAATTCGAAGCCATGGCCTGATTCTATTTTTGAATGAATAGATGTGAATGAAAAGTTTCGTTGGAAGGTTTGGTTTCGGTAGTGTTCGGGAGATGTGAGTGTGAGAGTGGATGACTCGTTGGATGGTCATGGAGTATCCTGGAATAGAAAACCAATGGCAAAAGCATGGACTGGGGTGGAGCGGGATATTCTGTGGTAGTTGTTGGCTGGCAGTGAGACGCGCGGTGTGGTCTGGAGTGGCCTCGGATCAGATCACGGGATCATCCGTTTCCGTGCATGCCCCGATAGGCTTGAAAGAAGAAAGTCTGGCCTTTTGTGCCATCAGTTCAAATATTTTACTATGAGCGACGTCGATGAGCCATTACCAACCACTGCTGACGATCCATCAACTTGTAGACCTTCTCTACCAAGAATGAAGTCTGTTTTAAAGTCTCTTCTCATCTGGCTCTGCTACTCCATGCACCGTGTACTCTGACACAGACGATGGCACTTGCAAGAAACATGTGGCATTTTGCGAGGAGGCACTGAACAAGTCTTCAAGCTGATGAATGGGAGTATCGAACGCCTATGGAAATATCACATACGCCTATCATACGAGTCAGTCACCACGAGTTAGTCCATTTCTATATACTGACCTGACTTTGACTAGCGACGTACTCGAGCTCAAGATGATTCAACGTTCTCTACCTCGCGCTCAGCAGAGCCATGACCCTCTTTCGTCCAAGCCCTACTCTGGCGTTTTCCTTCGCAACGTCCCAATTCCACTCCTCCCACTAAATCCAACAACAGTATCAGCTTCGCCCACAAATGTCACCACCACCTAAACGGGCTATACAGCACTCGACCTTCACCCAAATTCCATCTTATTCGCGTCTCCACCGAGGCAATCCCATAAACCAACAGAGCTTAGACCGCACAACATTGCAGTCCCCACCCACCTCCCTCTCCCTCCACAACGCACAACATCGTCTCCTCTCCCCCCAATACAAAGCAACCTACCTCCCCCAAAACGCTTTGCTGTCGTCCCTCTTTTGGACAACACCACAGCTAGTCCAACCAATCCAACCCAAGACTACCCCTTCTCAGATCCAGAACCAGACACAGACTGCTCCCTCTTCGCATCCGATACTGAATTCTCTACTCCCTCTCTCACAACCGCCTCCCTCGCCTCAAGCAGTCCACCAGAATCTCCTGGCAATACAAGTCCCGGACTGGAATACGGCCATTCGCGCGAGTATCCAGAAGAAGGCTTTATTCTGAACTTGGATGTTGATCCGGATGTGGATGGTTCTTCTGTTGAGGATTCCTATTTCCCGCGTATGCATAGGTCTATGCGCGATCAGATGTCGAGCCCAGTATCAAATTTCCACGC